TACACGAATTATTGCTATGAATGTTTCTCAACCAAGTCGATTTGCTGTATCACAAGCATGCCAATGTCTGCACGCATATGCTTGTTTGTTGCAAAAATCAATGATGGGGATACCCCGTATGTCCTTAAGCTAACTTATCATACATGTAATCACGCGCTTCGTATAACAAGAATTAAATAATTGTTAATGAAAGTTTACATGCACGAGATGCTTTCAAAGTTCTAGGACAAGATATGAGCACGTAGCTGATCTCGGCATAAGTTTAATTTCATTTTACATCTTAAATGCATTAGCATCGACATGCGTGATCCGGACCTCGCGTTATGTTGTTGCTGCAGCTCACTGAGTGCGTACCGTACCGTAGTGCCTTTGTCTGCCAAAGCTCGAGCTGTCAGTATCCATATACGCTCGAGGCTGGACAATTCATTCAACGAATAAGTGACTCTGTAATATATTTACATGCGCCGAGTATCCTTTAGATATTAGTAGACAGCTGCGGTAACAACAGTGGCTTCGTTACCTTAGCATCTGCTGGTTGTGGACGTATTCGCCAGTCCACTGCATACCATTGACCCCGGAGCGCTTGAGTATATAAAAATATTTAAAGAACAGGGTCACTTACATACCTTTGCAACCTAGCACTTTTCATGACGTAGGCTTATCAGCAGCTTGAGAGCGACGGCGTATCCACACTGATTATCCAGTCATCCTGTCATTCACGGTACAGATATGCCCAACATTAGGTCGCAGCTGCATACTGTCATCGTTTGTAGCGACGTGCGCGTCGGAAAAGAATCACAAGACTGTCATGCTGAGCAAAACAGTCTGTCACTTCCCTTTAATTCTTGTCTTGTGAGCTCCTTCTAGATCCTGGCGTTGTCCACTGACCCCTGTACATCAACGACATAGGTGACGCACTAGTATGCAAAACCAATACCATTTACATCTTGTTCTGCCAGAAAGTGTGCTCAGTCGCAGGACAGCTCGTCAACTTTTACATATCGCCCTGAAGTTGCAGAAGAAATAATTAGCTACTTGTCAGAGCCTCAATTTGTATGCCGTAGGCGGATCACGGTCCTACCTTATTCCGATACTTTCGTTTACGTAGGTCCGAGTACATTCATAGGAATGCAATTGCGGCTAGAGGTGACACATTGCATGTAAGGGTCGGCTTTATGGGCTCGTTCGCATCCTCTCGAAACGGCGGGGACCCGGGCAGGGTCGTGGTTTTCCTATAAGCTTATTTGTGTTCTTTGAGCTTCTCTTAGCGTAGAACTCGGTGCTATGCTCCGCTGTCGTTTTGCCATCTGTCAAGACGAGCACAAATTACGACCGAAAAATAACTGATTATATGTCTTTGTGTAGTTGGGGACAGACTTGGGGACAGGTAGTCTTTCAGTTGGAAATGTTTAACCCGTCCCCACGGGCACACGTTTAGTGAGCACACGCGTCTCCCATTATCCCACGGCACTCGGCCTTTTATAGCGTGTTGCATGTGGGATTTAGGTACGCTCGTTGCCTCTCGTACGGCCACGTGTCGAGAATTTGCTCGGAAGTTGCGATGTGGCGCTGTGCCACAACGTCCTGACGTCGATCGTCTGAGCGGCTGAAGTGGCCAATCACAGCGTCGCACTTGCCGCCCCAAAGCTACACAACTACAGGCGACCGTCGCGGCACTGGCTTTCGTGCCGGCCGTCCTGTGTGTGTACAGTCCTCTCGCGCTGTCATTATCACTTTTGACGCGTCAATGACGTGGCAGCGCTCTCGACCGGACGAAGCAGACGCGTCGGCCGAAGCGGACGCGCTGAGTCCGATCGCGGCCGTGCGACTGCAGGTGCACGAGCTGCAGACGGCGGACGAAGCGACTTCAACGACGTTGTCGGCTGACTCGAGGGACCCGGCGATCTCCGAGGACGAGCGCAGCGACCTGAACAACGTGAAACAGCGGACGGGCGAGACGCAGTCACCGCCGCCGCCGCCGCCACCGCCGCCGCCGACCAAAGTGCTGTTCCTTGACGGCATTCGCGGACTTGCGGCCATGTTGGTGGTGGTCCAGCACTCGGGCAGGTTCTACCCCTCGCTGCACCTCGGGTCGGTCGCGGTCGACGCCTTCTTCATCCTTTCGTCGTTCCTCTTGACGTGGCTGTTCATGAAGAAGAGCCTCAAGCTGATCGCGCAGCGCGCGTCGGTCCGGACGTGGGCCATCGCGATACTCGACTACTTTCAAAAGCGGTTCTTCCGCGTGTACCCACTGTTTGCACTGGTGGCCACTGTGATTTGGCTCCTGCCATACCGCTACCAAAGTCGCTGCTTCTATGTCTCGAAGAGCACCCACGTAAATCTGTTCAAGATGCTGACGTTCGACTCTGACCAGCGCTTTCACGTCTTATGGACGCTGCCGCTGGAGATCGCCTACTACTTTATTATCCCAGTCTTCGTGCTGGCCACGATCGCCATGCGTCGCTTCTGGCTGGTTGGGGCCGTGCCGGCAATGGTTTGGATCGTCTACGAAGGCTATACCTACGAACGACAGAGCCACATGCCTCTTCGTCCCCACATGCATACCTTCGTCATGGGGTCGCTGGCCGCCGTTGCCTATGTGAAGCTGGACACCCGGATACAAAAGACGAGCTTCCAGCTGCTGTGGTGGCACAAACTGCTCATTCGTGTCGTGGAGGGCCTCATCATTTTGCTCATGCTGAGCGTTTGTTTCCGGGGTCTGCTCTTCGACTGGGTCGTTGCGAATCCAGCCGCGCCACCGAAGGGGTTTCCGTTTTCCAGCGTCTTCATGGCTGTGATCATTGTGATTGAGATGATGCTGCCGTCGTGTGTATCCGCCATGTTCGAGTGGAACGTCTTTCGCTTCTGGGGCAAAATCAGCTTCTCGATCTACTTGCTCCACACGTTTGTCCTCAAGTACCAGGTGATCAGCGCGCAACCGTATTTTATCAACCGCTTCGTCGCCTATTTGGTTCTGACCAACGCGCTCGCGACGGTGTCGTATTACCTGGTCGAGTACCCGTCGCATTTGCTGGCGCAGCGGATCTCTCGCTTTCTCGCTGCACGAGAAAAGAGCGACGCGGCGACGTACACGAGCGTGGAGAAGACTGTCTCGAAAGAACGCGGCAGTGAGACCGAAGGGAGATAGACGACGCTGCAGTATGGACTCGACCCGATGCCGCAGAGGGTTTGGGTGAGCGAAACGGTACTGAAGTGACGACCGACGGGTCCGATTTGGGCGCATTTCATCCAGGAAAGTCGCGAAGGCACAGGTTACGTAGCGAACGACTCATCTGCGAGGCCTTTGGACGAGTGCGTGTCCGAAGGTATGTGGAGCACTAGTAAGCGACGCGCGTCGACTCAGCACAGTACTGAGTTACTGTATGGCCGCACAAGTATGTACCAGGAAGAAGTTGCAGCTGCCACGATCACTCTCTAAGACGTCGATCTTGAGTCGGTGCGCTACACAGCAAGCGAGAGTTTTCGCTGACCCCCGCAGAGCGACATTTGTGTGCTGCTATCGCTACACGTGACGTGGATCAATCTGTTCGATGCGCTGTTCACATGTACTGGACGTTGCGAACAGACGGTTCTTGTCAGGTGCTCGAAGCAGCGTCCACGTGCATGTCCACGTGATCTGTCATTTGACATACACAGGAGAACGACTGGCAGGCTGTGGCGTGTCATGCGCTCTACTGGCGATGGGGGAGTCAGCGCAGGTCCGACTTGCGAGTACGACGGTAGCGCTGCGGCTGCTGGTTCTGACGCAACACAACGGCTGACTGACCTAGTGTAACTGCCTCGACTCTGATAGGACTTGGGATGATCACTTAGTTTTCGTTCGGGGGTTCCTGAGGCCGCGGGGTTGGCACTGTCAAGCTTTTTCTTCCGCGACGTCAGGCGCGAGCACATGCATACGATCGGACGTCGTGCGGCATTGTACTTCTGCCGAGAAGCAGCTGCGCGGGTGGTAGTTGTGCTTCTGTCACGCACGCGCTCGATGATGCCCAACTGCTCGATCTGTGAAGCTCCTGGGATGTGTGTTGCAAGTGGTGGACGTGTCTAGTTTGCACGCGTTTGCAAGATGGGTCGAAGCGTCCGTCTCCGTGTCGACACTGTCTCAGCTCCGCAGTCGGTTCACACGCTGTCACCGCTCCGGCCTTTCAGCATCCGCCACGTCGTTACGCTGGCCGCTTAACTTCAAACGTTCGGTAGTGTTGTGTGAGGCCTTAACGCGTATCATTTGGCACACATTCGTGTTCGTCTCCGAGTGGCGCAGTCGGTGCTGCTTGACGGCAGATCCGTTGGGAGCTCAGGAGCGGGGCAACAGCACCAGTCAGATTGCCGCACAGTATACGCAAAAGTCTTTGTGTCCGTATCACGGTGAATCTTCAGGCAAACGCTCCGCAGTCATATTTCCACATCCGCCTCTGCTATTACAATAATTATCCGTCCTCTACTAGCACGACCAGTCCACCTTTCGAGCTTCCGAGTTACTTCCAGGCCCTCGCTATACAGCCGAGCCACGCCTTCCGTGCCGAGCCATCTACCGCGGCACGTTCACGCGGTTGTCTGTCTACCAGTACACGTGATACCGAAGCGGCTTTGCAGCATTCATCCAAAGCGCTGGCTCTGGGACACCTCTGGGTGGAAACCCTCCTGCAAAAAGTACTTCTCCACTGCGTCTGCAACGCCACGGCCCTCATTGATCGCCCACACGACCAGAGACTGGCCGCGTCGACAGTCGCCAGCAGCAAACACGCCCTCCACCGACGTCTGGTAGTCCCCGTACGCAGCCCGAATGTTGTGGCGCTGGTCCACCTCTAGACCAAGCGACTCGGCAATCTTCTGCTCCGGGTGCACAAACCCCATGGCGAACAGCACAAGGTCGCACGGAATCTCTTCCTCGGTGCCAGGAATCTCCGTGATCACATTGGTCTTGCGGTCCTTGTGGCCACGCACAGCCACCACGTGCGTGATCTCACCCGCGTCGTTGCCCTTGAACGCCTTCGTGACACGAGCGTACTTGCGCGGATCTTCTCCGAATACCGAGCGTACCTCAGCATGACCGTAATCCACACCATAGACTCGCGGATACTGAGGCCACGGGTTCTCTGGCGCTCGTTGCGCCGGGGGTTCCGGATTGTGCTCCAAGTTCACCACCGACTTGCACCGCTGCCGCATGGACGTGGCAATGCAGTCCGTGCCCGTGTCCCCGCCACCAATGACCACCACGTCTTTGCCTTCTGCAGTGACAAAGTCCCGGTCCCAGCCGCTCTGGAGCTTCCCGTCCACCGTGAGCATCAATCGCTTTTGGTTCTTGGTCAAAAACTCCATCGCAAAATACACGCCCTTGAGGTCCCGTCCCGGAATGTCCACGTCTCGCGGCACCGTCGAGCCGAGCGCCAGCACGACCGCGTCGTTCTCGGCCTGGAGCTGCTGCACCGAGCGGCTCGAGCTGCCGCCAATGTCGGCGTTCGTGACGAACGCAATGCCCTCGTCCTGCAGCAGCTGAACGCGCCGCTCGACCGTCTTCTTGTCAAGCTTCATGTTGGGAATGCCGTACATGAGCAGACCGCCCACGCGGTCTTCGCGCTCGTAGACCGTCACGTGGTACCCCTTCTGGTTGAGCTGGTCGGCCGCCGCGAGCCCGGCCGGGCCCGAGCCCACGACCGCCACGCGCAGGCCGTTGCGCCGCGGCAGACGGGGCACGATCCAGCCCTCTTCGAACGCGCGGTCGACGATTGCGTACTCCGTGTTCTTGATCGTGACGGGGTCGTCCACGAGGCCCGCGACGCACGCGGCTTCGCACGGCGCGGGGCACACGCGGCCCGTGAACTCGGGGAAGTTGTTCGTCTTGTGCAGGCGGTCGCTCGCCTCGTGCCACTCGTCGCGGAACACGAGCGCGTTCCACTCGGGGATAAGGTTGTTCACGGGGCAGCCCGTGTTGGTCTGGCAGAAGGGCGTGCCGCAGTCCATGCAGCGCGCGGCCTGGATCTTGCGCTCCGTGGGGTCGCGGCGCCCCGCGTTGATCTCGTTCCAGTCGTGCACGCGCTCGGCCACGTCGCGGTACGGGTCGGCCTCGCGCTTGAACTCGATGAACGCGCGCGCGCTGTCGATGGGGCCCTGCGAGCCGTCGCGCTTGGCAAACGTCGACGCGGGGGCGGCGGCCGACGAGGCGGCGCGGCGCGTGGCGGCGAACAGCGCCGAGAGCGGCCGACGGTGACGGACGACGGCGGCGGATTGCATTGCAACGGGAAACGAAAGGGAAACGGAAGGGAAACGACGGAACGGGGCGGGAAGTGAGTGCGCGCGCGCCGGCACTTTCGAGAATGAACGACGAGGCTGAGGCGGTTGGCAGGGCGGGGGCGCAAAGCGGACTTAAGAGGGGAATGGGTGGAAAAGAGGAGGGCGGTGTTGGCGCTGGCGGGCGAGCGAGCGAGCGGTGAGAAGGGGGAACAACAGCTTTGTGGATCAGAAGGAAGATAAGGGGAGGACAGCGGCCGCGCAAAAAGGCCATACATGGGGTGCGTCCGTCCTCGCGGTTAGTTAACTTCGATGACCAATGGGACACTGTAGAAATTGGGAGGTAGCGACCAGTGTGGCTTTGCGAGCAGAGCTTGGAGCTGTGCCGGAGCAACTATTTTGCATTTCTATTTATCTTCGCAGCGGAAACTCAGAATATACTTTACTGTGCGCATGTGTAATTTTGCGACGCGGGTTATATATTGAGTTTTCAGTGTGACTGGCCACTCATCGAAGGGGACATCGCTTGCGCTGCGGTAAGGTATTATAAAATGAGTAATAAATAAAAATGATGGGAATACCTTCGTCACATAAGCCCGAGTTCGAAAGAGCTTTGCGCAACGTAAGCAGCGGGGACATCTGCATTCATGTTCCTCCTTACCTTCGATGCACTTCGAGCGTCGCCAAGCACGACACCACGCAATCTGCCTAGCCAGACAGACCTTAGCAATAACAGGTATCATGTTGTAATGACCATACTCACGCTTTTACTCATTCATTGCTGCTTTCAAGACCAAGCGGTGGTTTGCACTACGTAGAAGCAAATGTGTTTCGTAGAATCGTACTGCATCCCAACATATGGCCTGATGCAGGACTCTATGGATCTATATCTTTCATTGCATATATTCGTATAACATACTTGACAAGCTAACTTCTGTATTGTCCGTGAAGCAGCCTTTGTGTCGACTCGTGCACTTGCGCTCCAGCAGTTAAATTACCCGGCAAACTCCGTTAAGTCATACTTCCGTAAAGTATATCGTAATGTAAACTCTACAAAGTTCTGGCTGCCAAACCAAGTTTGAGCTACTATACTAGTTTGTAACGCTGCTTATACAGAGCTCAATGGTTTCACACCTGCCCTTTTTTGACAGCGATTGGCTCGATGCGCCTTTACATCAACAACCCTCTCCACTGCGACACTTCGCACTGCATCACCGCAACAAACTGCGACACTTCGCACTGCATCACCGCAACAAACTGCGTCACAACTTCTTGACTGCCACAATATCGATCAGCGACGCAGTACTCAAAGAATTTAGGCCCTCTGTACAATTGTACGACAATGTCTCGCATATATTCTCCTTTCATGCTCTGCGCCAATGAGCGCAGTCCGCCAGAACTAGTTGATGGTCACCAAGATCTGAATAATCTCAGCCAAAACGTCTTGAAGTTCGAGAGCACTTCGCCACACACATCGCTGGTGTGGTCCATGGAGCTCGAAGCTTTCGGTCTCGTAGCCCTGTGCAACCAATCGCTACTCAAGCTCGCTCCGCAAAGCTTGCGCCAACTGCAAGAGACCTTCAACTGTGTAGCCAGATTGCCTCGTCGCGTGCGCTCCTGCTTGAAGCAGATCACGAGGTGACAGTAGACGGGCGGGCAGGTGGGATGGCTTCTACCTGACCCGTCGCACTGATGATCTTCAATACACTCGAAGCCAGCCGTCTCAGCGCCTGACCTGCAAATTTAAGCGCTTGAAGATGCGCGAGTCGGTCAAAGGCAAGTCTTCGTCCACGTATCTCGTCAGCACGAGTGGCGATGTTGCCGCCTCGTCACGTTCGGCCGAACGAGATTGAATGTACAACTGCAACGTCAGTTCAAGAGGATGTGAAGGGTGCAGTTGCACTACAGCAAGATCAAGCGTACGCGATCGGCGCTATTGGGTACAGTTCTGATCTCCATACACTGCGATGAGAGACGCGCAATCACTTTGGTTTGACTACTCCGTACGCCGCGTCAGACAGAGCAGTGTACAGTCTCAGTCACGTTGTTGAACATTGGGAGGGAATGGTCATTATCGGCAGCTCGCTGGATCCGTACCGCATGTTCCGCGTAACACAATCACATGACAAAGGCCAACGTGGGCAGCATCTTGTGACGAGTAAACAAACAATGAATTCTGACTCTCAGATTCAGGGGTCGCACACGACTTCCTCCATTAGTAAGCATTACCGTACCAAAGCAAGGAGGTTTGACCGCACCAGCGCAGTATAGTTACCGCCGTAGCGGCCTTGTCGTCGATAGGTACATACATGCGTTACTGATAATCGCGTTGCGTCGATGGTCTGACTAATGACCGATCGAAAGTGCCATCGCGCTTGTAGACGCTCGACAACTTGTCAAACATCGTGCCTTCGACGAGATGGACTTGAAAAGGTAACGACACATACGTCGTCCATCGTCATACTTCGAGCTCTTCAGCTGATCGATACTGCAGTAAATCGGGTTTCATTAGCGTCGTCTTTATATTTACATAGGTCGCTCAGTCGCAGCTATCGCTGCGAGTTGATCATGCTGGCGTTCTGGTTCGTCAGGTCGTAGGCTCGCTCCGCTTGCACGCGCAGCTCGAGCATTTTGTTGTACAGCCCCTCCCGAGTCGTGGGCTGTGGGCGCTGACTCGGTATCGGTGGCGCGCCCGCAATGTGAACGTTCTGCTTCATGCGCTGCCGCATCAGAAATTGCTGCATCTGGAGCTGCTGCTGTTCGTATTGGCGCTGTTGCTCCGACTGGTACGTCACTGGGGCACGTGGTGGCGGCGGGCGCTCCAGCACCGCGGGCATCTTTCGGTCCACCGAGAGCACCGACGAGCTGAAGGTGCTGCTCGAGCCGTCAAAGCTGTCGCCGCGATCCGACGGCATCGATGACATGGAACTGGAGTGCCACGACTGGTACGACGCCGAGTACTCCGAGTCCGTGAGCGACATGGTGGAGACCGAGGCGTTGGTCGGATCGGGTTGTTTCGCGCTGACGCTGTTGCAGTTGCTGCTGAGGCTCAGACGGGTTTCTCCCGCCACCGGCTGCTTGGGCCTCGCGGGCTGCTGCTCGAGCTCCTCGCCGGCGAACGGCGACTGGTCGCGGACCATGACCATGCACATCTTGCAGCACGCGACCTTGATCTTCCCCCGCCGAGAGAACGTGACCACGCGGATGCGGCACTTGCTGCAGATGACGGCGCCGCACGTCTGGCAGTTCGAGTGCGAAGACAGCAGCCCCCACCTGGCGCGGCAGATGAAGCAGTGGTGGCTGCTCTGGCGCGTCGAGCTCGCGCTCAGGAGGGCGCTCGACTGCTTGGCCACCATGGCCGAGATCTTCTTCGCCTCGGCGCCGACCATTGTCGACGGGAGGTTGAAGAGCATGTCCATTGTGCTGCGGAAGTCGCCCACGCCGCCGGCTGTGAGCACGTCGGACGAAGAGTCGTACGCGCCCTGCATGAACACCTCGACCTGGTCGGCGAGTTTGCCGGGTCGGAAGATAAAGCAGAACGACACGTTCGCGCGCACGATCGAGTTGTCTTCGAAGTGCGGGCAGTTGTACACGGGCACGGACTCGAGCACGTGGTAGCCAAAGTGCTGGCCCTTGGCGTCCTCGGACACGCCGACGTACTCCATGTAGCAGCAGTCGCGATTGCCGCCCACGGTGCGGGACAGCTTCCACTTGAGCCCGAGGTAGGACGTCCGCGTCTGTCGGATCGTTTTCAGCACGGCGCAGTCAATGAGCGAGTCGTCTCCGAGGTACGAAGCCAACGTCTTCATCTCGTCCGTCGACGACTGGTAGAGACCGTAGACCAGGTCGTCCACAGTCCCGTGCACGACGCCGTAGCCGATCACCAGCGGCTGAATGCTCTTGCGACTCGGCTCTCCGTCGTTCGTCGATCGCATGGAGAGCGCCGAGAAGGTCAGGTCGCTGTGCTCCGAAGGACTGGGAGAGCTCAACGAGAGATGTGACGAGTGGGCGGCGTACGCATCGTGTCGACTCGTCCCGGACCCGCTGTGCAGACCGAGTTGGTGCGCGGACCCCTCCGTGCCCCGTCTTCGGTAGCAATGCAGCTGGTCTTTGGACTTGGCGAGCTTCCACACGCGCGAGTCAATGCGGTTGCGGCCGTTCTTAACGTACCGGTCGAACTCGCGCTTTGTCTCGCGGATAATGTCGCTCGCGAGCAGCCTGTGCTCCTGCACCTCGTCTGGCAACAAGTCAAACTTGGCAAAGTACCCCGCAGGCAATGGAAACCGCAGTTGCATGACCGACCGCAAAAGGACAAGAGCAACGGCGGTGGCGGGCCACGCGTAATGCAATGTGGACGAGGAGGACGTACTGTGCAGTCGCACTGCCACGAGACGCCCGTGGGATCGTCGTCGTCGTCAAGTGACCCAGCAGCCAAATGTGAAGTGACTGGGCGTGCGCACGACGAACATATATATGTATATATATAGAGACGAGCAGGAGAACGGAGCGAGAGAGGACGGGGCGGACCCCACCATCAGAATGGACAGCTGGCAGCGCTGACCGTGTCGTCCGCTCTCCAGCTGACAGGGCGCGAGGTAAAAGGCACTCTGCCAGAAGCGCTGCCGTAAAAGATACTGGTGGACAATGGAGTCGCGCTGTCTTCTCACGCGCAGTGGTCGTCGAGGATGGGCGAAGATGGCGCTTGAGGTCTCACGCGGTCTCGTTCACCCCGACAGAGCAGCGACTGCTCTTGACTTGTTGCACTGGCGCGCGGAAACTGGACGCAGCTTTTGCGTTCGTTGCGAGGACCGACAGGTGGACACAAATGTGTGTCGGCGCTGTGGTCGCTGTCGGTAACACTTTGCTGTCCCGCATGGCATGCGGTGCTCTATGGTCCGAGTACCACTGTAATAGGCGACCGACAGCGGCCCTGTGCGCATGTTACGACCGACACCTGCTGGATCAGGACACGACGACAATAAAGTCGCCCCTTGCAGCACCGCAACGGCTTCGCAGCACCCGTCTGTCCTTTTTTCGTTCGCGCTTCGGCTCGACGGAATGGGATCACAGGAAGTGAGTCACAACCAAATGACCGATCGCTAAGTCGCGGGATCGAGTACAAAAAGACGTCTATTTGGCGCGACTCGAGACTTTGGGCTCTCGGTGCGAGGAAAAAAGGACGGTCTCCGTTGAACCGCTTCCGAAGACCCGTTTGTCGCGAAACTCGTCGCTGCGTTGTTGCAGTGGCGCGCGTGGGGGTTCAACATCGCTCCGTACTCGTTAGACAGAGCTCACCCGTTGCGGCATTCCCGAACAGATTCTTCGGCGACAAGTAGAGAGTAAACATGTGAGTGGCCTTCGCTCGATCCTCGCCCGACCTTTAGCTGAAATTGCCAAATGACATGCGCTCGTGTTGTCTAGTCAAAGTGCCGCTTTTTCTTCTCTATCGTAGCTGGTCAGTACGTACTGAACCGAAGCTGCAGTCGCAAGAGCGGTCCTTGCTTTCGTGTCACTGCCACGCGAAGTTTTGGAAGCTGCGCGTCCATATGACCGATACCTGCTGATATCTGACCACGATGCTCGCTTCTTGCACAACGTGGTTGCGCGTTTGCCACAGAAAAATTCAAGCATGATAAAAAATGGCATGGAATGCGTCCAGAAGGGGCTCGATCCTCCCGTTCGTGTCCACAATCGGGCGAAGCATTGTCGTTGCGTCTTGCAAGTGCTGGCGCAACGCGGACGAACGGGGCAATAAGTTTGGCGCCTAAGCGGTAACTGTCAGTTCCGCATGTTACAGTCGGCAGCAAAGCAGCTTCTCCAGATAGATTGAGCTTGTGGAAGCGTCCATCTGATACGTATCATTGATTGTCTTTACACGCTGCCTACGTGATGGCTTTTTACCGGCGCAGCGCTACTTCGCAACACGACATGCAACTGATCGTCCGCGGGCAACTTCTTGGGCCTTGTCGTCAAAGTCAAACTCTCTTCGCGGCATCATATGAGGCGTTAACATTTGTGAACACGCCTTTCATTGAGAGTGCTTTGTGTCCCTTTCGGATGTAGCAGACTTCTTTCTGCTTAGACGTGAACAAGCAGTGACTGCGTCAGTACTTCCACGAGGGCGCTCGTGGCATACGATGCTAATGAACTGGACGGTCGACAATGTCAGAGTCGTCAATGTGACGTCACGCGTCTTCCAGAGCATCTAAGGCGTTGGCTTCGAGGGTAACAGCGCACCTTGAGGGGCATATGCGCTTGCTTGGATTCCGTAGCAGAAAGCTGATGAGGTCTGGCGGGGTTCGAGTGCGAGATGAATGCTCACATTATTCATACAGTGCATATCGAGGAGGATCAAGGAATTGCAACACCGCGTCTGTCTATCCGAGTGATACGCACGCGATCGCGCAGCTTTGCCATTCCAGGTCCCAAGACGTCGCGGCCTTTCTCGATATGGCGCAAATGTAGCACGCAAACACTTATGCGCATACTGAGACTATCCGTTGCGTTTCAGTTGTCGCACAAGTCGAGAACAAGCGCACGGTCTGCAATGCTGGTGCATGTTCAAGTTCTGCACAACGGGAGCGGAAAAGCGCGTGGACTTTGGCCGACGCCGAGACGTGGCTGGTGCTGAAAGTTCGGAGCGGTGACAGCGTGTGAACCGACTGCGGAGCTGAGACAGTGTCGACACGGAGGCAGACGCTTCGACCCATCTCGCAAACATGTGCAGAAGGAGACACGCCCACCACCTGCAACACACATCCCAGGAGCTTCACAGATCGAGCAATTGGGCATCATCGAGCGCGTGCGTGACAGAAGCACAACTACCACCCGCGCAGCTGCTTCTCGGCAGAAGTACAATGCCGCACGACGTCCGATCGTATGCATGTGCTCGCGCCTGACGTCGTGGAAGAAAAAGCTTGACAGTGCCAACCCCGCGGCCTCAGGAACCCCCGAACGAAAACTAAGTGATCATCCCAAGTCCTATCAGAGTCGAGGCAGTTACACTAGGTCAGTCAGCCGTTGTGTTGCGTCAGAACCAGCAGCCGCAGCGCTACCGTCGTACTCGCAAGTCAAACCTGTGGTGACTCCCCCATTGCCAGTAGAGCGCACGATAGGCCACAGCCTGCCAGTCATCTTCCTGTGTATGTCGAATGATGAATCGCGTGGACGCATACTCGTGGACGTTGCTCGAGCACCTAACAGGGACCGTCTGTTCACAATGTCCAGTACATGTGAACAGCGCATCGAACAGATTGATCCACGTCACGTGTAGCGATAGCAGCAGCCAAATGTCGCTCTGCGGGGGTCAGCGAAAACTCTCGCTTGCTGTGTAGCGCACCGACTCAAGATCGACGTCTTAGATAGTGATCGTGGCAGCTGCAACTTCTTCCTGGTACATACTTGTGCGGCCATACAGTAACTCAGTACTGTGCTGAGTCGACGCGCGTCGCTTACTAGTGCTCCACATACCTTCGGACACGCACTCGTCCAAAGGCCTCGCAGATGAGTCGTTCGCTACGTAACCTGTGCCTTCGCGACTTTCCTGGATGAAATGCGCCCAAATCGGACCCGTCGGTCGTCACTTCAGTACCGTTTCGCTCACCCAAACCCTCTGCGGCATCGGGTCGAGTCCATACTGCAGCGTCGTCTATCTCCCTTCGGTCTCACTGCCGCGTTCTTTCAAGACAGTCTTCTCCACGCTCGTGTACGTCGCCGCGTCGCTCTTTTCTCGTGCAGCGAGAAAGCGAGAGATCCGCTGCGCCAGCAAATGCGACGGGTACTCGACCAGGTAATACGACACCGTCGCGAGCGCGTTGGTCAGAACCAAATAGGCAACGAAGCGGTTGATAAAATACGGTTGCGCGCTGATCGCCCGGTACTTGAGGACGAACGTGTACAGGAAGTATAGTGTACCCCATCCACAACCTGTAACATGTTTCCCATTTCCGTCACTAAGCTACTTCTCATCCCGTTTTTCTTGTATCACAAATCAAGATCTTTCTGAAGTCTCAGCATTTAATTTGACAATTTTTTCGCGAAGTTTTAGGACCATAAAGCTCGGGAGAATTTTGTGAAATATAGCTCGCGGCGAGCCACATTTGGCTCCCCTTAAAATTCCTGCGTATCCTATTTTTTCGATTTTTTCGAAACTTTTCAATTGCAATCCAATTCGGGAGCAGCTAAATCGTTCACATCCATTAAAATTGAAGTTGGGACCTTACGGTGCGACCGATACTTGTTTACAGCTTATTTGGCGGCCTTTTCAGTCAGGTCTTGCGACATACGTCCATGTACCAAATTTACTTTCGAACATGGCGGCGGATGGTGTTAAGGTTAGGTGATGCGACGGGTATGTTATGGACACGAAAGAAACATGGGAAAGGAACATCAGGGTTGACGGGGCAGTTGGAATGAAGAAATGATCAAGAAAGATGAGCTGCTTCGACCAACAAGTGTTTTTCACTTCAACGCTCCGCTACCATTTAACAGATGTTAGTGAGAGAGACGGATGCCAGGGATCCCGGGACCACCTGCTCCAGACCTTTGCATGTGTAGTCGCAACTTTTCCGAGCACGGCGTTTTAATTTCCACCAGAACATTTCGATAAAGTTCAGTTCGCAATGGAACTTGAAGAAAAAATTGTTGCGATGGCCGGCCGTAGTGATATTTTATATTTAAAGCCCCTTTTGGCTCTTGACAGAAGTCTGACTTTGGACAACATTGCAGGCGCAGCAACGATCGGTGTCAGCCCACTTGTCGCGTCAATCCGAATGTCTATAAATTTATTATTTACACAAAAGCCTTAATTTCCTTTGGTTGACTAGGGAGAGGGTGGTTGGCAGGAAACATCATAGATAGAATTGTTGGTAGGCCCTTGTCTGGAATAGGAACCGATCGGCCAGAGGAGCTTGTTGGTAGGCAACTCTATGAAGGGTGGTAAAACTTAGAATGAATTGAACGCTAGCGATAGCGCGTGGCGTTCTCCAAATACGCTCTACTGCTGCTCTATGCGAGTTGATCGCTCACTGTGTACTACGTTCCATGCGCGTGGGTTCATACGTGCTGATTCTGGTATGGTGGGTAATGATATTCAATTAGTTGACAACTTGTTGTACCAGGTTGAAGTGGAGATGACATCTCAGTCATGTCACTGTTCCATCAGTAAACTAACCATCTGGCACAGCTGGTTGATTTTCTCTAAGTCCAATATTGATGCGTGAGGCGACCAGAGTATCGGTCGCAAAGGCTGCGTCGCCAGTCGCATTGTCAAAGGCAAAAAGAACCTTGACATCAG